TAAAGCTGCCTTAAAACTGTGCATGCATGTTTAAGAACATGTCTCTGAAATGCAGTGGTTTTCAAAACTGTCCTGGAGCAGCCCAGCACTGTCTCCCTCATCTAACACACACGATTCAACTCGTCAGCTCATTAGCAGAGACTTTAAGACCGGAATACGATGCGTGGCAGATCTGCATCATGGTCAACAGTGGCAGCTCTTAAAGCAGCCAAAATAACCCAGCTGCTGTGAACAAAAGAAAAAAAAGAAAGAGGAAATAAATAACTTTTGTAGCTTTAAGGATTCATTTATATTTAAATTAGAATTTAGTGTTTGATAACTTTATTCAATTTCTGTATATTTCCTACTTGCTGAAGGGCACAGGTAGCTATTTTTTAATCGATTGACAGCACTAGTTAAAATTATTATTACTATTATTATTTTTTTTAAATTATTTTATTATTTATTTTATTATAAAAAAAAAAAAAACGGTTACACTTTATTTTAAGGTGTCCTTGTTCCAGTGTAATTATACATATGTAACAAGGACACCTTAAAATAAAGTGTTACCAAATAAACTTATGCTAGATAAGTTGATAATTATTTTCATGTTATATATTATAAGTAGGGCTGGGTTTTGACACAAATTTCACGATTCGATTCGATTCTCATTCACAAGCTTTCGATTCGATTCGATTCAATGTCGATTATTTTGGATATATATCAGGTACAGTACTTGCCAAATTTTCAAGGAAAAGAAATCTCTCAACTAATGCTGTAAAATATACATGAGAGTCAGTTGGTACTACATTACTATAATATTGAAGGTTAAATTTGACTGATTTGTAAGCTATAGAATACAACTGTTAAAATTACACAATTAAGTTTTTAAAATAATAAAGTTACAATTACATAATAATATTTCTACTTCAATTTGTTTGGTTTTTTAAATATACAAATTTAAATGGTGGCTGTCATAAAAAAATTGATGGATTTATTCCAACATAAATTAAACATAAGAACAGTAAAAATGATAATGAATATGTTATATGGTGCATATATTTAGCAAAATACCCCTCTGTACAAGTTTATTTTTCTGGCTGACTAATGAGTTTATGGTCACCGAATATGTTTGTTTCTGAGGTAAATGTGACGTTACGTGACATTGTTTACAAGACTTTATATTGAAGTATTTGCGCGGCTGAACCTCTGACTGAGCGATTACATGAGACAGGATACAGATTGTAAAGTTGTACTCTTTCTTTTAACTTACCTTTGGACGTTTAGTCACGTTTATTTTGTGCCAAACCTGAGACTTTTTCATATTAAAAGCACTAAAGCACAATGCTTATTGCGATTTATTGGATGGGAAGTGTCCTTCAATGTTCCGTCCATTAACTGAAAACAGGCTACACTAATTGATTCTTGGGATTTAAGAATCAATATCGTTCCGTAAAAAAGAGAATCGATTAATATCGAGATATCGATATTTTTTTACCCAGCCCTAATTATAATCTATACATTTTTGAATATTAAAATTCTATATTTTTATGTAAAAAATAAAATTAATCTATTTAAATGTTACAGTTGAATTACAACATACCGCATGAAAAAATTATAAGCATTTTGAGATTTACAATTAAACTACTATTTTTTTTTTAAGATTAACTTTGAGTGTTAGATGATGGCAAAGGCAAACTAAATGTAAAAATATAGTAAATAAGCTACACAATTAAATACTGGAGAAATGAAAATAATAGAGAAATGAAAATAAAATCTAATTATCAGTAAGTACTCATGATTTAAAAAAAAAAAAAACTATTAATATCAGCTGATAACCAATATGGAACATCATGCATCTTACCACCTGTACTGAGAAAATCCTATTTTGAAGGCTACTTTGAAGATAATCAAAATTGACTAGGTGTTTGTGTGGACCACATCAAAGCCTGTCTGGTTTTCAAAAAAGAGAGTCAAAACCACCATAAATGACATAAAATAGCATAAGAGAATGACATACTGGTACAGGGCATCTGTAGAGGGTCAGAGTCTGCACGGTAGTATCCACTGCGGCACACACAGTTGGTTGCACCCACACTGGTGGTACGGCTGTTGATGGGACACTGGAGACATTGCTGGTCCCCTTGAGATGCTTTGAAGGAGCCAGATGGACATGCTGCATTAAGAAAAGTAGAGACAAACTATAGTCAATGGTAAATCAGAATAAGCAAGTCATTCATTTAGGAATTGATTTGATGAGCTTGTTTTAAGATGCATCTCACATACATACTGTAAATGTCTGGAGCACATTATCATCACTCTCACTCTCATTAATGTCTCCCCACATTAAGCACATTTTCTTATAAAACAGCCATCTTTATATTTCTGTTTGGAACCAAAAGGAAATGTAGGAAGTGAAAGCCCTCATAATGCATTCTGATGGGCCTCCAGTGCAGTTCTGAAGCTTGGTCTCGCACTGACAATCTTTTGTTTGGCATACAAAGAGCCGAATGGCACTCAGATATATCTGTGGAATAAACTTACAAAGACCTTGTAAAATCACAGCACAGTTTTTCCCTGCTGCCTAGTTTTACTGAAAACAAAATGCAAATGTGCTTGTGCTATTCAGAATAATTTTTTTAAATGAAGAATTTAATTACTTTTTGAAATCTTCATTTTAATATGGTCTGAACTGGATATTTAGGCGTTGATTTTGATTTTTTTATTTGCTTCACAAAGAATCTGTCTTGGCCAAAAAAAAAAAAAAGATGTTTACATGACCAACTTTTTAACTTTCAAATCAGGAAATACAGGCCAGCCACCTACCCTTGAAATAATAAAAAAAAGTAGCAGTAAAGGAATAACAGCAGTTTTAAAAGATGTTCTCAAAATGTGAGTAATGTGACAATCTGCCTGCATTGAGAGTATGACGGGGAGCAGCAAGCAGCTAGTGCGTGAAATTATGATCACAACCGTTCTTGCAGACTGATTTGCTGAAAGTATTAAAATAGAAAACATTAAGTCTATTATATCTTGAAAGCAACTTTGAAATAATACATATTATGAAAAGTGATATTTAAATAAACAATAATAGCAAAAAAACTGATTTCTTTCCCTTCAGTGTCATCCTGTTGAGAATCACAAGAAGGTAGCTAAAAGGATCATTTGGATCACGTTTCAGCTGTTTTTGTCCATATTAAGAAAGTCAATAAAGTCCAAAACATTCAAGCTCTAAAAAGGACATAAAGGATTCATGAAATTAATCCATATGACTGATATATCAAACATCATCTAATGTCTGGCCTCACTGATTCTCACATTACATGCCCAAGAACATGATGTTAGCGTCACCATATTTAATGGTCTATGTACACTACCATTCAAAAGTCGGTAAGATTTAAAAATGTAATTTATTCCTGTGATGGAAAAGCTGAATTTTCAGCAGCCATTACTCCAGTCTTCAGTGTCACATGATCCTTCAGAAATCATTCTTATATGCTGATTTTTTTGCTCAAGAAACATTTATTAATGTTGAACAGTTGTGCTGCTTACTATTTTTTTGGAAACTGTGATACCTGTACATTTTGTTCAGCGTATCATCAGTGTAAATGACAGATTTTAAATTTTTGGGTGAACTATCCCTTTAATTGTAAGTTATTGGTCCTAGCAGCTGAAACTGATATATTTACATTTTTAGTGAAGAGTCAAGACATACTTTGTGAAACTGGGACTCTCTGGTGAACTGGGACGTTACCATATTTATAACTTTTAATATACGGTATATTAAAAAATGAAGACTACACCATCCAGTCATGTGACTGCAGAATGATATGTTAAATTCACGCAGCATTTTGACAAAACTGAAACTCACACTATTTCCCAGTCACAGACTGCAAGACAGACAGCATCCTTTATTTGCTCACACCAAATTGGTCAACAGCTGCCAAGTCTGCCTGTCGGCCTAAATAACCTCAATGCTCATAATAATACAAACGTTTGTACCACACAGAAATAGACCACTGACACCGACTAGAAATAAATCAAAGATCGAGGGTAAATGTAATACGTGTCACATATCATCTGCAGGTGCAAAGCAATCAACACTTACCAAGAGCAAAGTGTGTTCTAGGAAGTACAATGAAACTCATTCTATTAGCCTAATACCCCAAATGGCTTTGACAGTAAAACATTACTCTTGGCTGGCGCTCTCAGCCTATGATTGATGACAGAACATTCTCTTTCTGCCAGAAGGAATATAAGGCTTCCACGCTCACACATCAGAGTGAGTTAGAGTGGTGGACGCAGTGAATGAGGTGTTGGTTACCACTGAATGAGGCGAAGTGGGTGTGAGTGACAGTGTACAGAAGTGGAATTAAATCTGTGGTACCACAGGGCTCCACAATAGAGCCTGTCCCGTGTGAGAGGGAGAGCGACAGCAGAACAATATCCCGCCGACATTAGATGTGTGCGCTGTGTACTGTACATGACTGGAGTATTTAAGTAGGTGCTAATGGAATTCTGGGAGAAATTGATTAAAGACCTTTGTGTCACTGCACATTTTTTTTAATAATCTTACATATCTGTTTATCTTCATTCCTATGAGCAGTTGTGCTTTTTTATGAGGCACATTTTACAACAGGGAAAATCACAGTAAACACTTTATTGCCTCAGTATCCTTTGGTGAAAGACATTTTCTTGCCTCTTAAACACAAACTCACTAATTTAAAAGTGTGTAACTTTGTCAATGTTAAAATACTTTCTTCCTCTTTTTCCTACTTTCTTTTCTTTCTACTTCTTCGTCTGAAAATGCAGAGAGAGCTATAAGCAAGACGTTTGTAGGTAGATTCTCTCAAAAAATGTAAAAACCGTGGGTCTGTTTGTTTGAGAATACAGACCAGCCCAATATACTTCATCCAATGGCATGAGTTTGGGGGTGGGGCAGTCTGTTTGGCTGACCAATGGAAGATGAGGGGAGTGTTTGGGAAACCTGTTTGGAAACCAGTCATTTTTGGAGTCATTCCGTTTGGAGATGCTTATTACAAGTCGTGAGTGGTGGTGATTTTGATTCAGTAAACAAATCTTTGTAATGATTGTGTTAAAGGGATAGTTCACCCCAAAATGAAAAGTACCCCATGATTTACGCACCCTCAAGCCATCCTAGTGTATATGACTTTCTTCTTTCAGACGAATACAGCTGGAGTCTAGCTTCCGCTAACTTTGTACGTGCGTTCACAAGAGAGTGGCGTTTCAGCGGATGACGTAGGTCTAGCTTAAGCTCTGGTGAGAAGTGACAAACGCGGAAGCGCAGAGGAGAGAGTAAAATGGATGCTTTTATGATGGATGGATGCACTTTATTTTGCTTAAAAATCTCGACCACCATTCACTGCTATAATAAAGCTTGGAAGAGCCAGGACATTTTTTTTTAAATAACTCCGACTGTATTCGTATGGAAGATGAAAGTCATAGACACCTAGGATGGCTTGAGGGTGAGTAAATCATGGGGTTATTTTAATTTTTGGGTGAACTATCCCTTTAAGTGAGCCTTAAGGTGCACTCACATTTTCCAGTCATTTCAATAGGTACCCGCAGAATCAGGAATTTAGCGCATACGTGAAGCATTTTCATGGGAATTTTATGCTGAACTTTGTGACCGCTCCTTTAGATTACATCATTGCCAGTAGGTGGTGACTTATTGAGTTTTATTGACTCATTAAATAAACAACTGACTTACCAGAATTGTTAAAAAACACAGAATCATTCACATAAGAGTGTCTTATCCTTTATTAAAAGGATGGTTACATGGATTTATCTATTGAAAAAGACAAAAATAGCCTAAGTTAATTGGGTTTCAAAAATATTCTTGCATCATTTACTTTGTGAATCAGCATCAATCATTTTTACACATTAAATAACTAGGATAAGTCTTCCGCCTAAGATTGACTCATTTTGCACTGAATGAACAACATGCCCCCTTTCATTCGGCCGATTCTCATTCACAAATGTCCCAATTCGAATCTTGGTTAAACTCGATAACGCCAACTCATTCACCAACAACATGTCCTAATCTGTTCATTTAGCTTACTAACGAGATGTCCTAGTTTGTTCAGTGTTTCCACTCAGAGTCTCGTTCAGACTCGAAACATAGACTCATTTAGTGCTTTTGCTCAGGAGGTCCAACCAATGAAATGGTCTTTCACAGTCCACACTCAAATACTACTGGCTCATGCTATAGTCAGTCTTTGAGGGTAGGAAAAACCACCAAAGTAGTCACACGTTTAAAAAGGAGAGACCTATGAGTCAGTGCATGGTGACTAAATGAGAACGATTCGTTTACTTAAAATGATTCATTCACAAAACACAGAAACATCAATAGTTCTGTAACTCAATCGACAATAAATGTCTTCAAAACATGACAACTAAAGCCACAGCTAAATGCCACTGAGTTGCAATGACTAAAGTACAAGTAAGCTGTATTTTGAAGCTTTTATGGTAAAAGCTTTTTGCATCTCCATCAATCAGTAGGATGAATCAAGCTTATACTATACGACTCCATCTTCAGACATTTGGTCGCTTTATAAACAAGCTGCTCAGCTCAAAAACCACAGCCTGAGATCACAGCGGTTGACAGTGAGGAAATTAAATCCGCAGGAAAGAAAAAGGTCCATTCTTTCTCAGACAATGCAGAGACTGACATCACGGGTCTTTTTCATTGACAGACATAATTTCATGCAGTATAAGATATGGATGCAGTCTTTTGTAAGCCCTCTCCAACAATTTTCTTGGCCAACTTGAGGCCACAGATGTGTCTGTAACCCTACTTGGCAAAGCAGGTGGTTGGAGAGACATTAATATCCATTAGAGGTGCCGTGTCAAGCTGCTGAACTCATCTCAGGATTCACACAGGGGAGTTCACTTGTTTAAGGGGGGTGAAGGACTGAACTCATCTGTGTTATACTGCCTGTCATCTCCATATCAAGGTGAATGAAGAATTTAAGGAGTTACTAAGGTAATTTTTCCTTGAGCATCCATGTTTCATGAAGCCTTCAAAAGCAGTAGCATCATTTGTGTTCGAGGAGCTTACTCTCCAATGAAACACAAATTTTCCTATTATATACAATCAACAGACAACTCAGTCCTGTACTTCAATTTGTTTAGGATTTCAAACTTGCTAAGTAA